AGATTTATTTATTTATTATGTATACAGTGTTCTGCCTGCATGTATGCCTGCAGGCCAGAGGAGGGCACTAGATTTCATTACAGATGGTGGTTGTGAGCCACCATGTGGTTGCTGGGAATTGAACTCAGGACCTCTGGAGGAGCAGTCAGTGTTCTTAACCTCTGAGGCATCTCTCCAGGCCCCATCATCTTTTGTAACCAACCAAGGCCTCAAGTGGCGGGATTAGGACACCAACCCAGCCACAAAACCTTCAACTTGGGACCAGAATCTAGCAGAATCCTCTTCAGAGGCCAGAGAGACTTCATCCAGCAACTGATGGGAGCAGATGCAAAGTCCCCTAACCAAATATTAAGCAGAGCTCGGGGAATCCTGTGGAGAAGGGGGAGGAAGGACCGGAGGACTAAGATGGATCAGAGACACCAGAACATGGTTCACAGAATCAATTGACCAAGACTCATGGGGGCTTGCAGGCATCAGGGAGCCCCGAGGGGTCTGACCTAGGTCCTCTGCCCATGCGTCATGGCTGAGTAGCTTGGTGTCCGTATGCGACTCTCACAGAGCGGCTGTCTCTGACGCTTGCCTGTCTGGGGGACTCACACTGTGCTGCTGCCTCTTACAGCCTTGAGGAGATGGTATGTGCCTGCTCCATTGTAGCTTGTCATGACTTGTTTGGTTGACGTCCCCGGGAGCCTGCTCTTTTCTGAGAGGAGGCCGAGGAAGGGTGGACCTGGGGAGAAGGAAGGTGGCAGGGGAGGGGAAACTGCAGCCAGGATGTACTATATGAGAGAAGACTAAAACGATTCACTTCACATTAAAAATGTATGTGTCGCGGGCAGTAGCCCAAATCGCAACTGTATGGCTCAAGAGATTTTCAGCAAATAACCACAGGGCCACTACTCAGATTAAAAAACAAAAAACAAAAAACGTGCTTATACAACTTGTGGGAGGGCATGTGAGTGCCACAGGAGTGTGTGGAGGTCAGAGGACCATCTCAGGTGTCCATCTTCTCCTCGAGACAGGGTCTCAAGTTAGCTGCTGCATACGCCAGCCTAGCTAGCCTTTCTTAAAATTCTGTCTCTGCCTCCTGTCTCATAGGAGTTCTGGGGTCACAGGCACATGCTACTGCACCGACTTTATACGGGATCTGGGGACTCGAACTCAGGGCCTCACTCTTGCACAGTGAGCGTTTCGCCTGCCAAGTCACCTTGCCAGCACTTACTGTCTACATTAACAGGTGCAATCCTTACTCTTCTGTTTGGTTTATGATTTCTTAACTGGTAGAAATGGTTTGTGTAGTAAGACTTTATCAGTGAGGGCCAAATCAAGGCCACAGCGGTAATTTAAGCAGGGAAAATTAAATTAAAAAAAAGTAACTAATAAAAAGTGGGTAATTACCCAGTGAGTACAAGAGGACTCTAGGGCAAGGGTTGACAGGCCTTCTGTAAAGGGCCACGTCGTATTTTGGGCTTTGTGGGCAAGAGTCGTGGCCAAGGATATCACAGACTACAACACAAACATCCACAACATTTTATTGATGAAATCCAAGATAAAATGAATGCACGTTTCTAAAAACTGTATTATGCTTATCTATTGTGTTGAGGGTACAGGGAGTGGGTGCTTGTCACATGTGGAGGCCAGAGAACAACTCGGGGGACTTGGTTCTCCATCCATCCACCAATGCGGGACCCAGGGATTGACCTCAGGTCCTCAGGCTTGGCGCCAAATGCTTTCGGCCACTGAGCCATCCGCCAGGCCCACAAGTACATGCTTTGACATACATTTCGATGATGACGACATCTCCACTTTGTATCGCTGAGATTCAAATACAAGAACCATTGCCAGCTCAAGAGCGACAAGCAGGTGGCTTGCTGTGACCTGCAGGTGGCGGTTGGCCGGCCTGGGGCTCCAGGGGTGGGGCTGAGGGGGTACAATGGGTGGGGGAGGCTGAGGGTCCTCTCCACAACCGCTGAGATTTAGACTCTGCAGCTAGAACTGAGCCAGTCCACTAACAAAGACATTTGCCCAGGCGTGCAGGCTACAGGTAGGACCTGCCCCAAAACCTCCCCATTTTTGTGACCAAGAAAAGGGCAAGCCAGGGAAAGGGGAGGAAAGCTCCCCCCCCCTACTCTACAATGACCTTCTAGTGCCATCTACTGGAAGAGAATAAAAGGCCAAGTAGTGAAACCAGACTAGCGGGGACGTCCTGTTTTAGGAGGGGATCATTTGATAACTCCAGTGGGGAACCTAACAGAGTGATAAAGGTGCTTTTCCCACTCTGCTTCTTGCCTTTACAAATATCTCCTGGAAAAGGCTCATATGAAACGACATTCTGAATAAAAATAAAATAAATAAAAACAGCACATTGCAGGAGCTGGCTCTCTCCTTTTACAGTGTGGGTCCCAGGGATCAAAGTCAGGGAAGCCAGGCTTAGTGACAAGTCCCTTTACCCTGAGCCCTCACTCGCCCCGTGAAGGTTAGTCGACCCCTCACTGTCCTCTACCCATCCCATTCTTGTGTCCTGAGCCCATCCTACCAGATACTCTGTGTCTTTCTCTGTGTGTGTGTGTGTGTGTGTTTAATGCTTACTGTCAAGATTCTAATTTTTGTAGATTTTAGAGCAAAATTTTCTGCTTTACACAAAGTAAAAGTGTTTTGGCAAATACATCTATTACCTTTTCTTGTTTAATAGCTTCTGGCGAATGTATCTTGAACAAAAAAAACAGTTCGCTCTTGGTTGGGCCTGGCTGTGAATGCCTTCAATCCCAGATATTATCGCCATGACTGTTTCACACAGCACATGCAGATCTCTGCTCACTATAATCCTTGGTGCACGCTAGGTAACCCTGCAGCCAATTTGACTCCGGGCGCTTGGAGTCAAATTCCCTTGGTGGCCCATCAGAAGGCAGCTTGTGATTGGGGATGAGATGTAGCTCAGTGAGAGAGCTCTTGTGTGTCACATGCACATTCGACTTGACTGGTGTAAATCACAACCCTCTCGTCTTCTTTTGCTCTTTATCGCTAGTAGAGGGGCTGAGTGGTGACGAGAAGAGGGAGTGGATGGCAGCAGGAGCAGCTTCTGAATGGTGGCAATGGCCAAGGTGGCGGCAGGTATTGCCCCCGTGGTTTCCATGGTAGCAACAATGGTAAGAAAACAGCTGGATTTTCCAGAGTGTCCAGGGGCAGAAACAATAGAGCTGCTGGAGACAGCAACGAGCACAGAAGGGAAAGTGAGTCCTGGTCAGGGGGAGGTCAGTCCTCTGAATGCTCCACACCAGCAGAGCAAATGGACCATGGCAGAAGCCTGACATCTAATTGCTTTGAGGTATTTGATCCACCCTTACCAACAGAACCAAGTTGTTGACTTTTGGGGACCCCAAATGCCCAAACATCAGTGGCAACTGCCCAAGATAGCTTCATCCCACAAATCCCTCTCCTCTGGTTCCTTCTTCTCTCTGTGGGACTGGCGTCTGCTTCTGGTGGGGTCTCTCCCATCGTGGCGGGTCCTCTTTCTGGGCTCGGACTTGTCAGTTCCCGCTGGCTCCGCTGAGGCCTTCCTTCTGCTGAGGCCTCCGTCTTCTCTGTGGGAAGCCTTCTCTCTGTGGTGTTTTCTCTTGAGCGTCCCTTGCTCCACACCGGTGGCTCCTCCCCACTCCTGGTGTCCATCCTGACTGACTGGCTGGTTTTTCTGATGACGTTTTAGAGATTCCAGTTTTCGTGTGCAGTGAGGTACCAGGTCTTCCACTGTCGGCCTTTCGTAGGAAGTAGAGGATCTGGGGTGTTTTCTGGATGAGAGAGGTGGCCCCAGCATTGGGGCTCCCCAGCTGACGCAGTCTCTTTCTTGGTGAAAAGATTCCTCTGCCGTATTTCTGACAAAGGTCCTTGGATGTAATCCAAGGTTCCTGCTTGTAATCCTGGCTCTCTGCTTTCTAATGAAATCTTCAAGCTCATGTTGAAAAGAGTCATTGGTCTGAGGCTTTTCCATTGTACTGACCATGAACGGACTTCTCTAGAGAAAAATGGGAGAAGACCTTCTGTTAATGCATCATATTGCTGAAGATATTTTCTCTGTCCTAAGAGAGTGTTACGCTACATATTATACAGTAAGTAGTAAGTAGTCACTGATGTTGGACATGAGTGCTTCTGACGTACTGGGGATGGGAAAGTATAATGGGAGAGGAAAATGATTGCTCATTTGTCTTGTTTTAAAAAATTTGATTTTGTGTATGTTGAGTATGGGTTTGTACACAGTGCCCACAAGGCCAATGGTGTCAGATGCTCCTGGGGCTGACAGGTGGTTGTGAGCTACCTTATGTACGTGTTGGGAGCCAAACTCTCCTCAAGTAGTACATCCTCTTACCTGCTGAGCCATTTCTTCAGCCTGCATTTTTTCTTTCTTGACATGGTGACTTGGTCCTACTAAGTAGCCTTAGCTGGCCTAGAACTCACTCTGTAGAACAAGCTGGCTTCAAACTTGTGTTTCTATGTCTCTGCCTCCAGAGAGATTATAAGCACCTATCAAAGCTGGTGGGAAATGAGTCTTAAATCACTGCAAATTTTCCGATCTATATGTATAAATAAATGTAATACATAGCGAGTATTGTAATGTAATACATAGTGTGTGTGTGTGTGTGTGTGTGTGTGTGTGTGTGTGTGTGTGTGTGTGTGACCACTTAACTGTACATTCATTTGTGTGAACTGCATAGTTATGTGCAGGCTAGAGGCTAAGCTCAGCATTATTATTATTTATTTTATTTTATTTTTTCCGAGACAGGGTTTCTCTGTGTAGTTTTGCACCTTTCCTGGAACTTGCTTTGTAGACCAGGCTGGCCTCGAACTCACAGAGATCCGCCTGCCTCTGCCTCCCAAGTGCTGGGATTAAAGGCGTGCGCCACCACCGCCCGGCTGCTCAGTATTATTCTTCAGAAGCCTGGTTTTTTGAGACAGGGTCTCTCGTCGGGACCCAGGGCTTGCTCAGTAGGGTAGGATGACTGGCCAGTGACACCCTGGGATCTTCTGTCTCCTCCTCAGCACTGGGGTTACACATTTGCCACAACTTCTCCCCAGGGTGCCAGAGATCAAACTTGGTCCTTCTCATGTTTGCCCTGCAAGTATTCTTTGGACTGAGCCAACACGGCGCTCAAGTGTAACATGTACTAATGGGGAAGATTTATCAATGGTTGAGACAGGTTTAACAATCAGATAATTTGGGCTGAAGAGATGGCTCAGCAGTTGAAATCACTGGCTGCCTTTACAGAGGATTGTTGGGATCCCAGCACCCACATGGTAGCTCACACCATCTAGTTCCAGGGGATCCTGTGGCCCTTCCTGGCCTCTGTAGGCACTGCATGCAGACGGTACAGAGACAGGCACTCCAGCACACACATACACACAAAATAAAAATAATTCTTTAAGGTGGCGCATGCCTTTAATCCCAGCACTTGGGAGGCAGAGGCAGGCGGATCTCTGTGAGTTTAGAGGCCAGCCTGGGCTACCAAGTGAGCTCCAGGAAAGGCACAAAGATACGCAGAGAAACCCTGTCTCAAACCCCACCCCCCCAAAAAAAAATAAATAAAATTCTTTTTTTAAAAAAATCAGGTAATTTTAGACTTTTTCTCTACCATAAATACTATTCCATGTATAAGACTAAGACATTTAAAGAAGAAAACAAAAAGAGAAAACCATGTAATTAAACTAAGCTGGAATTAAGCTGGGCATGTTGTTACAGACCGTTAGTCCCAGCACTTGAGAGGCAGAGGCAAGTGAACTTCATGAATTTGAGGCCAACCTGGTCTACACAGCAAATTCCAGGCCAGCCAATGCCACACAATGAGATCCTGTTTTAAAACAAACAAACAAACAAAAAAGTGCTAGGATGAGGACCAGCTACATTCAATGGGTCACTGGGGGCTGCTCTGAAAACCTGACTTCATTTGACTGTATGGTTTTCCTTCCATTTAGCTAAGGTAACTGTTAGTTCTAACAAAAAGCCTGCTGTCGTGACGGTACCTATCACCCAATCCAGTCCCTGCTATTCTATCCTCTGGGCTAATTGTTGCTCTATTATAAATACAATTATAAATGCAACTAAGTGTGAAGTCAGATTTGTCATGCTGGCTTGAGATTTAGTTTCTTTCTTAAATATATATATATATATATATATATATATATATATATATAGTCACATGCTACATACCATTTTAGTCAAGGACAGAATTCACATACAATGGTGGCCCCGTAAGACTGTGAGCTGGCTCAGCAGGCCAAGGGACTTGCTGACCAGTCTGATGACATCAGTTCAATACCTGGGACCTACAAACTGTCCCCTGACCATCACATGCCCTGTGGCATCTGTGCAAGCACACACACACACAAGTGTCTTAGCTGGAGCACAAGCACTCTGGTCACATAACATTTCTCGATATCTCATCCTCATTGATAAGCAATGCACAGCTATGCTAAGAACCGTTTTCTATTTCTATTTCATAATGGATGCATATAATTAAGGGAGCTGCCTGGCATGCTGAAACACTTTTGGAAAGTGGTTTTTATTTTCAACCAAATCTCTAAATTTAGGTTGTTTTGTGGTTTTTAGGTCTCACTAATGAAGCGTCAGCGTTCTGGACACACAGTGTGCCATGGATATAGCCAGGCTCTGGGGCCACGGCCCCCATTCTTGGGAAGGCCCGACAGCCTTGTTCTAAAGCAGATAAAGCTGACGTTCCCACCAGGGACTTAAGTCTTTCTCCCTTCCCACTGCTCTTCCCTGTCCTCCCTCCATTTTTGGTGAGAAAGGGTCTCATGTAGCCCAGGCTGGCCTGGACCACTCTGACCTCAGACTCCAGCCTCTGCCTCTCAGTCCTGAAGGTATATGCCACCAGCCCGTCAGGTTGATGTGGGGCTGGAGGGCAAACCAGGGTGTGCTGCTCACTACCAACTGAGCTACATCCCCGGCCTTGGGTTTTATTTTTCCTGTGAAGAGATTTACATTGAGTTCAGACTGTGTGGAGGTGAAATGATTTTCTGGTCTCAAGCCGTTTCTTCAGTATGGAAAGACGAAGAGCAAACTTTTGGCAGAAAACTGTTTTGTCAGTAATGGAAAGGTAGTTAACACCCTGGTCTATAATAAGAAAAGGGCCAGGGAGAAAAGACAGCGTCCACCCACAGGGAGGAGGCGCTCCAAGAGTCGGGGTGTGGCTGGGTCTCACCTCCTGATCCTGCTCTCAGCCTCTGGGAACAGGCCACACTCCTTTAAGATGTGACTCGTACTCTTGTGTCACATACTCATGCGTCCACCTGCCTGACAGTCTTGTTTTCAGTACCTCAGCTCCTCACGTGGGAGGGCCCCGTGGGGTGAGTCAAGCAGGCATTGTATGGTGTGTTTCTGCATGGAGTTCCTCCGAGCCAGGGACGAGGCTTTGGCCTTGAGTACACACCAGAGCTTCCAGTTTTGTATGATGATAGGGACAATAAATAATCTTTGACCCCACCCCAAAATGCCAGTAGGATGTAGGATGGCCATATTGAATCTCCAGAACTGCTGTAGTAATTTAGCAGAGTCACTGTATCTGGAGTAGACACTACAAGGAACTGAAGAAGCCTTGTGGAAAATGGTGATTGTTTTGCTGAAGGGGCTTTGCAGCCATCCCATGACTTTGGTCACAAGTCACCTCAGGCATTGTGTACTGCAAATGACACGTGATAAAGGACTAGAGTCATGGGGGCGTGGGAGGCTCTCCTTTAGTAAGACCTGTAAATCAGATTATGGACCTTGAGATGAGGAAATACTTTGTGTAACTCTCAGTAAATACGCCTTTGTAGGGCTGTTTGGGGTTCAGCCCATCAGAAGAGGCTGGACCTTCCTGCTGCCACATGGGCCTTACGATGTCATCTTGGAGTCCCTTCTTTCTTCAACCGACCCAGGCTATCCTGTGCACCTGGACATGGCACTCCCTCCCCAGGCGAATCAATTCCGATAACAGGAAAGGCCCCAGGCTGCTTTACTGGGAAGAGGAGAGGAGATAAGGGACAACAGACACTGGATACAGTGACTTTGCCCACTTCTTTCCCTACGAATGACCTTCTTTAAAAAACGGCTTAGACACTGGCAGAAAATAAAGACACCTCAGCTTCACCAAGTCTGGCCTGTCTACCTACTCAGCATCCAGTAGTTTACCTGCTGCCCTCCATTTTGTAAATCTGTAATTCACCCCCCCCCCCCAATTTGTTTTATTGCATTCATTTTTATTTTGTGTGGGTCTGTATATACGGGGGAGGCACACATACGCTACGGCACATGAGTGGTCAGAGGGACTGTGGGGAGTTGGTTCTTTCCCTCTACCGTGTGGGACCAAACTCAGGTCACCAGCCTCGGTCTAAGTAAAGTGAGAGCCTTTGCTCTCTGAGCCACCTGCACACCCCTTTAAAGTCGGACTTGGGCAGGGCGGTGGTGGCGCACACCTTTAATCCCAACACTTGGGAGGCAGAGGCAGGTGGGTCTCTGTGAGTTCAAGGCCAGCCTGGGCTACAGAGCGAGTTCAGAACAGGCTCCAAAGCTACACAGAGAAACCCTGTCTCAAAAAAAAGAAAAGAAAAGAAAAAAGAAAATTGGCCTTGGACTGGATCACTTTACCTCCCCTGGGTTTAAGGGATTCCAGGCTCATGTAACCACACCCTTAGTGGTCCTTCTACTTTGACGCATCTAGAAGCCAATTTCCCAAGAAGAAAACAGAATAGATTTGAGATTCATCTGATCATGTCATCACCAGCCAAAACCCCCATGTTTCTCTTTGGTTTAAGTGATACTTATTAAGTCATGGGGCCATCCACTTTTGAGTCTCTACTTATCCAGAGTATTTATCATTTTCACCCTATTTGTGACCCAGGCTTCTTACTGACCATGAAACATGAACTGGGATTGTCAGGAAGGAATTCCTATCCCAAGTGCTTGCCTAGTCAAGATGAGCTGGGCTGCCCTCCTTCTGCTTCCTAGTCTTGTGCTATACTGGAGGGAATACAGCTATATGTCAATAGAAAGACAAAATGTCAAGGAAGAAAGCCCAAGAAATACTTAGTTGAGAAAAAGCAAGGAGGGCTAAGAAGAAAACACAGTGTTGAGACCAAATGTTTCCCTCTGCTCAGAGTTTCCCCCGAGGCGGGAAACCCAGGCTGTGCTCACTACAAGGGAATCTCATTAGTCAGGTGCTCCTTCTCCACCAACGCCCACCTGTCCTCAGGCAGTGAGAGCCTTCTGAGGCTCTTTGCTGCTTCCCTACCTTGAGGCAGCACCATCAAGGTTTGATCTATCCAAAGCTGGCTTTGAACTCACTGGTGACCTTTCCTGCCTCTCCCCCAAAGCACTGGGATCCTAGGCATGTACCACCACACCCAGTTTTACGCAGGGCTGGGGCTCCGTGCACGCCAGACAAACGCACTATCTATCAACTGTGTTAAACCTCTAGCCCCAGCTCCATTTCCAGTCTCCAAAATCCCGGTCAAACTGCCATACCACTGGTGGGCTGGGGACACTCCCTCTTTTCTTGGGCTCCCCGCTCCAGCTCATTGGGTCTGTTTCCAAACCCACACTCACAATAATCTTTCTAGTTTCCTCTTATTTGCTCACAGCTTTCCCTCCTTCAGAGGGAAGCTCAGTTGTCTACTGGCTGCCCACAGCCCTGGGGTCCCTGCGTCCTCAAGACAATCTTCCTCTTGTTCTGGCCTTCCAAACACACTGCCTCTGGGCTCACACAGGGACACTGGTCTCTGAGCCTTGGTGCTCCGAGTCTCTAAGCAAGCACACCAAAGATTAATCATCACCCAGGGCTGGGCTGGAGTGCTACCTCAGCTCTGACGACCTCCACGACACCCCTCTGCTACCCCTGCGTTATCACTGCTTAAGCTTCCCCACGTGCAACAGGGATGTCACACGTGATGGCACATGCCTGTAACCCAGCACCGGGGAGGCTGAAGCAGGATTCTGAGTTTAAGTCTAGCCTGGCTAGTGAGTCCTTGGCTATAGTCACCCACAGCTGATTCCAGCTCTTCCTTTCTACCCGGCTCCCTGCTGCTGGCGGCTTTTCTGTCACCTAGACCACACAGAGCGGCAAGAACTAACACTTTTTCAGGTCAGGTATGTTCTAACTTCCCACACGTGCCCGCAGGGTCCTCATGCGCAGAGAGTCTCTGTTTACCCGTTTCCTCACGACATCAATTATGCCTGCCGTCAACTAGGTGCTTGGCAAAGAAACCAGCGAAGACAGATCCTGACCCCTCCCTACCTGTCGAGGTCCACTAGGAACCCCAGATCCGAGGAGCCCACCCTTCCAGTTTCAGGGTCCCTTGCTGTACCTGGGCCATGGTTCTCGCTAGTGCTCCAAAATGCCGCCAAACATCAGCGAGAATGAGAAACGCGGGTTTGGGTCAGTTCTGATCTGGAACCATCACCTTGATAGTTTACTGAGAAAAACGGCCACACACAGATGGATTCCTGGCCTTCGCAAGCTTAAGAGCCTTAAGGGTCATTAACGCCGAAGACCTGTGGGTACCACAAAGCACCAATGTCTACCTGGCTAGAATCTTCAGTAAGGGCCTCACAGGCGTGGCAAATTAGTGAGCTCCGGAAGAATCCCAGGTTCCCAGCTCCTCTGCTAATGCTCTTCTGGGCTGGATGCCTGGGAGCCGGAAGGAGGAGGCCACGCCCCTTCCTTTGTCTAGGTTCTGGGGCTTTGGCCTTCTCAACCTGTAGTTCAAGCTCACCGAGGAAATAAACTCAACCTTTTTTTTTAAAAAAAACATAAAAACAGGTTATAATTCAAAAGTCCAGGATTATTTGAAGCTGGAAAATATTTTCTCTGTAGAAAATAGTATAAATGATAACATTTCCCAATAAGCCCTTTTAAGCCAAAATGACAGCTGAATTATACATATAAATATTGATTAGATTCTGGGATGCAGAAGAAACCTATCTTCATCTGTTCAAAGAGCTATGCTTTACTTAAGTTGTGTGAGATTCCTATTCATCTTCTCCTTCACTGTTTGATTACAGCAGACATTTCTCTATAGGCTAATCCATAATCTAAAAAGATTTTAGCCTCCCCTCCTAAAACTACAGCCAGCATAGTCTTTCATCAGCTTGATATGGTACAAATTCTTATCCTAATAGTGAAATGAATAAACCCAATCTTACGCCTGAAAGGGACTGAGGAACACCCTCAGTTCACTGCCTGAGAACAACAACAAAAAAAAAAGAAAAAGAAAAAGAAAAAAGAAAAAAGAAAACAAAACAGAATGTAGCCAGATCAACACTAGTCAATCCTGTCTGGAGTTTATCTTGAAAAAGTAAATGAAATATCCAATTTTTAGCATACTCCACCCCCACGAAGTACCTCCCCTCCCTCGTCTTTCTCTTTTTGGAGATAGTCTCATAGCCTTAGTGGGCTTCAAATTCTTTTTGCTGTTTTTTTTTTGTTTGTTTGTTTGTTTGTTTGTTTTGAGACAGGGTTTCTCTGTGAAAGTGTCCTGGCTGTCCTGGAACTCACAGAGATCCGCCTGCCTCTGCTGCCACGCCCCCTTCCCCAGTGCTGGTATTAAAGGTGTGTACCACCACCGCCCTGCTGACTTCAAATTCTTTACAGAGGATGACCCTGAACTCCCGAACCTTTTTAGCTCCACTTCTTGGGTGTTGGGATCACTGGCCTGAGCCAACAAGTGGATTTATGTGGTACTGGAGATTGAACCCAGAGCTTCTAGTATGTCAGCTAGGTAATCACTCTTAACAACTGAGCTACAATCCTTCATGTTGTACTTTTAAAAATATTGCCAAATTTGGCAACCAATCTTACAGGGTTAATCTTTTCCTATTCATCTTTTGAATTATAATTACTAACAATTATAAAATCTAGTGGCTTTCATGGTGACATTGTCATTTATGTATGCATCATAATCTGATTCAGTCCTGTCTGTGGATGCCAACCTGGGGTTGGCTGTGCTGAACACTCTGACCTCAGAACAAGGCTATGTCCAGGGCAGTCATCACTGTCTTCAGGCAGCATCGTCACCTAGTCAAAAGAGTTAATCTTAAACCCTAGTTACAAAATGCAGATGCCAGTGGAGGATGGGTGGGTGGTCATGCTCAGCATTTCTGACACAGGGCAAGACTCACTGCCTCGGGGCCAGACTACTGCTAGCCACAGGAAATCCCAACTGCAACTATTCCAGAACACCGTGACACTGAAACTTGGACTTCCAGCTCAGAGTTCCCTTCCCAGCCCAACAAAAGCAGCTCTCTTGCCCTCTTGTACCACAGTGTAGCTAATGAACTCTACTTCCGAGTTCCCCTGTCTTCCACAAATTCATTCTTAGTCCATGTCTCTGGTTTCTGCATGGCAGTATCCTCCTTAAAACTCCCCATTTTTGCTCTCCACCCATCCCTTTCCTTACTTGCTGTAATAGTCCTTGGATTTTCAGGTTATCCTTGTTTTGTTTTCTTAAAAAAAAAAAAATACTGGCCGGCCAGTGGTGTCACACGCCTTTAATCCCAGTACTCGGGAGGCAGAGACAGGTGGATCAGTTTGAGGCCAGCTGAAAGACCCTAGCCTTTCAGGCTTACACCCCCAAGCCTCAGGAAAAGAGAAACTTCAAGCACCAGGAAATGAGAAACTAAAAATCTAGTTCCAAGGGCAACCTGACTTAGCCATTGTTCAATCTCCCCTGCAACCATATAACAATGTAAAGAGATTTCTGTTAAGAGATGTGCTCAACTGTGACTGGGAGAGTTGCAGGTGTTCCAGGAAGGACCACTATGACCTTTGTGTAAACTCCACTCCTGCCCTGATACCCCCCTTGAGGTTTCAGGAAAAATGTACCTGTTGACATAACTGTACCCCCTCTGTGATCACTTTGTAGCCAGACCATGATCTCATGAAACAAAATTGTATGGGAATTGTAATCTTGTGGGTTTTCTGGGTTTTTCCTTTAAAAGCCCTCTTGGGGCTGCAGTAAGATGCGGCTCTTGCTCTCAGGACAAGAGTTTGCCCTTCTATATAGAAGCTTTAATAAAAACCTCTTGCTATTGCATCAACTGGACTGGAGTCTGGGTTCTTGGGGCGCCCACTTGAGACCCTAAATTTTGGGGTCCAACACAGCCTGGTCTAATGAGTGAGTTCAAGGACAGCCAGGGCTACCCAGAGAAGCCCTGTCTCAAAAACAACAACAAAAACAAACAAACAAACAAAAACCAAATTCAAGTATTAAACACAAGTTCCACAAAGAAGATATAAGGGTGATGGCCTTTCTAGTTCTAACTCTGCTGTGGTGGTTGTTGTTCTTGTTTTGGGTGGTGGCTGAGTGTATAAAAATATATTTGAGGGCGGTGGTGGCACAGACCTTTAATCCCGGCAGAGGCAGAGGCAAGCGGATCTTTGTGAGTTCGAGGCCAACCTGGTCTACAGAGCAAGATCCAGGAAAGGCACAACGCTACACAGAGAAACCCTGTCCCCAAAAACCAAAAAAAAAAAAAAAAAAATGAACCCCCAAAATATATTTGGTAGTGAAGTGTAAAATCGAATGTGAATCTCCACGGCTTCTGTTCACAATGTCTGCTCCAATTGTACAGAAGTCCATTGAGTTGTATAGTCTTTGTGTCTGGTTAAGTTTGGTATGTGATTTTTTTTCAACTGTTGTTTATAATAAAGTTTCAGATATTAAAAGTGAAATTGAAAGTGTATTCTATTTGCTTATTTGTGTGTGAATGTGAGTGCACACGCACCATTGTGTGCTTGTGGAAGTCAGGGAACTTATGGGGGTCATATCTCTCCTTCCACCCTGTGGGTGCTTGGGATTGAACTCAGGTCATCAGGCTTGGTGGTCAGGGCTTTCATCAACTAGCCACTTCCCCAGCACCTGGTTTCTGAAACAGGTTTTATTCGGAAGCCTGGAATGGTCTAGAACTCACTATGGCACACAGCTGACCTTGGTATTGCAGCAATCCTCCTGCCTTAAACCTCCTAAATGTAGGCCTTAGAAAAATATAATCAGGTACATTCCCTCCATCTCTCCCCACCTGTAGCCATCCTGATCGAAGTTAGATGGAATCTCACTGTCACCTGGATTTGCATTTCCCTGATGGCTAAAGATATCGAATACCCCCCCCCCCGCAAAAAAAAGATATCGAATATTTTTTATTACATATTATTGTCTGTTTGGATTCCTTTTGAAAAGTGTTTCTCAAATCATTTGCCTATTGGTTAAATCACTCATTGTTTTGTTGTTAAAAAACAATTTTATTTGAGAATAGTCTTACTCTGTAGTCCAGGATGGCACTTAGACACAGAATCTTCCTGCCTTAACCTTATAAGCACTGGGGTTGTAGGCATGTGCTACCATGCCTGACTTAGAATTCATTTAATATTCTGGTCATTTCATTAAGCATCTATGGGATAAACAGCTGGCAAAGACTTTCTTATTCTGGAGGTTTTGTCTTTTTTATGCAGATTCTTTACATTTTGATGATATGGTCCTCTTTGCCTATTCTAGCTTTTATTTCCTAAACTAATGAAGTCCTAGTCGGAAATCATTTCCCCTGCTGAGATCTTGAAGTGTTTCCGCTATGCTTGCCTTTAACACTTTCAAAGTGTCTGGTCTTATATTAAGGCCTTTGATCTATTTTGACTTTTTCTGCAGAGTGCAACATAAGGATCCAGCTTCTCCTTTTTTATACAGATACGCAGTGCTAACTAGCACCCTGTGTTAAGGAGGCTGTGTTTTCTTCAGTGTGTTGTTTGGCAGCTGTGTAAGAACCAGGTGGCTGGAGATGATGCATAGGTGTATTTCTGGACCCTCTAGGCTGTTTTATTGGGCTCTGCTTCCATCTCTGTGACAGTAGCACGCTATTTCTGTTACTATGACTGTATGAAATGAGGTATTGTGATGTCTCAGCATTGCACTTTTTGTCTTGTTTTTCTGAAAACAAAGTCTGTCTACATAGCCCTGGCTGTCCCAGAATTCACTATGTAGACCAGGCTGGCCTTGAACACATAAAGATCTGCCTGTCTCTTCCTCCCAAGTGCTGGGATTAAAGGCATGTGCTACCAGGCCCAGCAGCATTGTAATTTTGTCTCAGAGTCCTTTGGCCATTGGGGTCTTTTGTGCCTGCATGTAATTTTTAGGATTGTCTTTTCTAGGAAGGGACTGCACTCAGTCTGTAGATCTTTCAGCAGTATGACCATTTTACAAAATTAATTCTCGCGATTTATAAACACACAAGGCCTTCCTGTAGTGGGCAGCCGTTCCAGCTTTGACCTGGAAGTACCACCCCCTTTGAGGCTTAGGCAACTGTCACGCCTACAAGGTGGAGCTGAGAGAGGACCCCTGAAGACCCGGGATCTGGATGGGGGAGCTTGCTTGGTTCCTGGACCCTGGACGCTGGAGGTAGACCAAGCAGAGTTCTCCAGAGAACACCGCCCGACTGTGCTACACCTTTCCCAGACCCTGTTCCCTATCCCTTCACTTGTGAGTTACCCCACAAAATAAACCTCCCTTTTAACTACGTGGAGTTGCCTTAATATTTAAACCAATACCTTCCCATTATCTAGTTTCTTTCTTTCTTTCTTCGTCTCTTCTTTCCTTCCTTCCTTTTTCTTTTTTTCTCTCTTTTTCTCTTTTTCTCT